AGAGATGGAGTAGGTCATGGATGGCCCAATTAACGAAGGGATAGTTGATTAATCAGATAGTCCCTGGTCAGCTCCTGTCGTGTTAGTCCCGAAGAAAGATGGGACTCAACGTTGCTGTGTGGACTTCAGAGCTCTTAATAATATAACCGAAAGAGACTCATACCCACTGCCAAGAATTGATGATACTCTTGATGCCCTAAGTGGAGCCAGGTGGTTTTCAACAGTAGATTTAAAGTCAGGTTTCGATCAAGTGAAAATGGTTGAAGCAGATAAACCTAAGACTGCATTTAGTTATGGCCAAGGTCTCTGGCAATACCGTGTGATGCCATTCGAGCTTAGTAATGCTCCAGCAACATTTGAGAGGCTGATGAAAAGAGTACTGGAAGGCCTACAATGAAGGATAGCCCTAGTGTACCTGGATGATGTCATTGTGTTTGCAACAACGTTTGATGAGGAAATGTCCCGGCTAGAGGAAGTATTCAAGCGTTTGAAAGCAGCATACCTCAAACTCCATGCCATGAAATGCCACTTGTTCCAGAAAGAGGTGCTTTACTTCGGTCACATTGTAAATGAGCATGGTGTGCAAACTGATCCTGACAGGGTGAAAGCAGTGTGTGTGATTCGTCAACACCAGACAATGTGGGAGAGTTAAGAAGTTTCTTGGGACTCTGTACCTATTACCGAAAGTTTATGAAGGACTTTGCAACTATAGTTGGTCCACTACATGATTTGACCAAAAAAAGGCCAGAAGTTCGAATGGACAGTTTCTTGCCAGCATGCTTTTACGACACTGAAAGAAAAATTGGCCTCAGCTCCATTTTTAAAGCTTCCAAATTCATCACTGCCATACATACTGGATTTTGATGCTAATAATTTCGGAATTGGAGGAGTGTTGTCACAGAAAGTTGGCGAAAACGAACATGTGGCGGCTTACTTCAGTAGACCAGAGAGGAACTACTGTGTAACATGGAGGGAGCTCCTTGCTATAGTAAAGAGTCTGATATATTTCCATCCTTACCTATATGGAGCCAGGTTTACCATCAGGACAGACCATGCTGCATTATGCTGGTTATGATCATTAAAGAACCCAGTGGGACAACTGGCACGTTGGATCGGAAAAATAGACCAGTATAATTATGATATTGAATATAGAGACGGAAAATATCATGGAAATGCCGATGGACTGAGCCGAAGACTCTGCAAAAGTGACTGCAGACATTGCTGCAAAAGAGATGTTGAACTAACCAGGTGCCATCAAGCTGAAGTCAAGGAGACTGAAGGAGTTGATAATGGTGAAGTAGAACTAAGTATAGATATTAAAGCAGAACAGGAGAAAGATCAAGATTTGAAACCAATAATTGATTTTCTAAAAGCAAATGTTTTGCACCCAGCTTGGGAGAAGGTGTCCAGTCTAATCTCAGTGACAAAGAACTATTAGACACAGTGGGACCAGTTGAAGCTTGAAGATGGAATTCTTCTCTGGAGATGGGAAACTGTTATACCGAGAAAGTTACGGAAAGTTGTGCTGCATCAATCCCATGATAGTTTCACAGAAGGACATCTCGG